TGCTGGGTGTGTGTGTTTGTGTGTGTGACTTGGTGTTGGACTGAAAGGGACATTTTTTTTTTTTTTCATAGAGAATTTGCTTAAATGTGGACAAGAATTAGTACAGGTTAGCAACACTAAGTTGTAGAACTCTGAATCAGAATTGTGTTAGGCACTAGGAGGGGCAGAGTGGTATCCCTCTGGGTGCCATTCTGATTAGTTGAAATTGGAGACTAGTAACACTGTTGAGGAGTGTGAGGCCACATCCATGTTCAGGAGATTATTACTAATAGCTACATTTATTTAGCACTTCCTACACACCAAACATTCCTTAAGCACTTTGCATTATTTAGTTAGCTCATTAACTTGTAAGAGACAAGTACTTGTATTGCCATTATTTCCATTTTACAGATGAGAAAACCATGCAGTCATTTATTGAATACCTTCCAAGGGCCAAATTGTCCAGGTTTACACAAGTAGTAAGTGAAAGAACTGGGATTTGGTCCTAGATTCTACTCATAATCACTAGATAGAGTTGAATGCTATGACTGATTGCAGGAGGAAGGAATGGGATAGCATGCATTTTCACCCTCTCATTCTGATCTTTTCCTCTGGTCTTTTCCCCTTCAGTGATCCTCCTCCCCCTTTCACATCACAGTCAAATTAAACTATTTTCTCATCACCTGTGTTCTACACTCTTGTATGGGCTATTGCCAGTCCTGGAGTGCCCAGCCTCTAGCCCTTTGCAGGCTAACTCCTACTAGTTCTTTGGAATTCTGGTCAGGCATCACTTGTTACAGAAAATCTTCCCTGATTTCATCAATCAGAATTGGTACTCCTTCTATGTGATTTCTCATAGTTTTATGAGGCTCACTTACAACATAACACTTTTTATTGTGAATTGTTATGGCTTATTTCTCTTAAAATTAGCTAAAAGAAGAGGACATTTAGTGTTTTCATTGAGTGAATGAGAACCTGATGCCTTCACCTGTTGGCTCCAAACTGTTGGTATTGTTTTGTCAAAGTTATCTGCTTCCCAGGTTCATTTTTGTAATTGTAAATAAAACACAGGTGTTGGACCAGTTGAAATTTCCAGCTCTGTTATCTTTTTCTTCTATAAGTTTGGGAACTTCTAAATATTCAGTAAAAATTTTACCCATTTACATTCATTTTCTATTATATGCATACAATATGGTATTTCTTTCCATAAACAATTGTCTCTCTTTTGTAGCTAAGCTTGCTTAGTGTGATACCTTCATTGAAAACAATCAATTTATTGGGAACAATACATGGGCACTTTGTATTAAAATTTTTACTTCTTAAGTTGTGCTATGGAGAGGCATATCATATCAATGTGTATGTTATTATATACACATGTTTTAAGTATGATTATTTTATAAAAAATAAAAAAGAATATGTTCTTTATGTATAACAAATTGTAGAATGAATTATAGAATAAATCCTATAAATAATATAAAGAAAATGAACTTGTCTAAAAAAATGTCCAGGGAGTTAGGTTAAATCTGTATGGAGTTACAGAATGGAGAAACGACAACAACAACAACAACAACAAGGTACCAGTTATTAAAACACAGATACAATATATATAAAATGTTATCCTGACCAGTTATATATGAGAGATGGAGACTAGAATCTTGGGTCTTCATGAATTAAATCAATTACGTTTAGAGAAGCTAATTATTGATAGTGAGATTAAAACATAATTAGCAGGGGCGCCTGGGTGGCTCAGTTGGTTAAGTAGCTGCCTTAGGCTCAGGTTATGATCCTGGAGTCCTGGGATCGAGTCATGTATCAGGCTCCCTCTCCGCAGGGAGTCTGCTTCTCCTTCTGACCTTCTCCTCTCTCATTTTCTCTTTCTCTCTCTCTCTCTCTCTCTCTCTCAAATAGATAAATAAATATTTAAAAACATAATTAGCAGTTATAAAGCGGTCTATAGGTGTTCTGATCATTAATGGAGCAATGGGTAGATTCCTAGAGACTTGGACGTTTTCATTTTATTTCTTTTCGGGTAAACGTAAATTTCTTTCTAAGCAGTTTCTGGGGAGTAATGGGGAGGACACTTAAGTTAACTCATGATTTAAATCAGATAAACACATATCCATTTCCTGAGATAGGATAGCCAATTTATGTATGTGAGGCAGGCAGACTGAGAAACAGAAAAATGAATGACAGCCTCGATGTTCTTTTTTCAAATTCTTAACCTCAAGCAAGAATTTCTGTTTCTTGTTGCCTTTTTTTTTTTGTAATGATGACAGTCACAAAGAGAAAAATAAATGCTTTTTTTCTTGTTAAAAATTTACATTATTCACACTGGTTAAATATCAGTGAAAACTGTCCTTATTTTACTCAGTAGATAATGCTACAAGTTTACAAGGCGAGAAAAATTTCTCCCCCATTGGAATGCTGTAAAATATATTTTTAGAAGTATCAGAGCAGGAGGAAATCTAGTTTGCTGGCCCTTACATTAGGCTTCCATTTTTCTGATGTGACAAATAAAGTCACTTTCGAGCAAGGTGGTTCTTTTTGGCACAGTGTTCTGAAGAGACCTCACTAATTCTTTTATTTATTTTCTCACTAATTCTTTTAAAAACTAGGTCATACCCCACTACTGCAAATATCACTCCAGAGAAAAACTCTGTGCAACAACAGCTCTTTAAGATCCAGTCAGTAATCTCTTTATTTCACAAAATGACAGAATTTGGCAAAAACCCAGGAAAAAGAATCAAGAATCTTCTGGGATTCTTTAAAATAAAATAAGACTTATTTAGCTAGCATGTCAAACTAAACTAATAGCACATCTATTTTACTTGAGGGTTTGCCTATAATGTATATTTTCTGTATCAGGAGGTACCACTTGGACTCAAATGTAACTTAGGGCAGCTTCAGAATTGTTACAGGAGAGGCTAAAGGAAGTTTAGGATGGGGCTGCTGGGAATCTGCATTTTAACAAGTACTCCAGGTGATTCTGTTGCACTTTGGGGCGACCTCAGAGATTAACTCTTAATAATGCTCACAAAGAAATTTGCTTTTAGTTAAGAAGAGCATAAAACACGTGACGATATTAACAGAGTTGATTGGTTTAGTGTGGCTAAAAGGTGATAGGTTCTTTTTAAAAAAAATTTAGTTAATCAACTGGAATTAAACCTAGTTGTGGACATTGCTTTTCAATTTGTTCCACTCAATAGACTTGGAGTATCTATGACCTGTGATAAAAAGAATCTATTCTCACAAAGTATGTGGCAACTTTCCTCTTGTTAGAGTCTTTATATCAGTAGTGATTTGTGTTGTAGAGTTTGTTCCCCCTTGTTAAAGAATGAGTCCATCAACCTGGCAGCTTATGCCAGTTTTCTCAAGCAAGGCTAATACAAACCACCTGTAGATCTTTTAGAACTTAAAATTGCTGAGGCTATGCTCCTTACCCCAGTCAGAATCGCTATGCACAGTGCCCGAAAATCCATTTCCTTGAAAGATTTAGTGTGCAGCCAGACTTGAGATAGTGGTTTAATGATAGCAAAAGAAATTTTGAGGCTTTTAAATAGATTCTTCTTGGTTAGATATTTCTTTATTCCTGATATACCCACAACCATTGTTGTGCTAGGTTCAATGTATTGGCTGTAACTCTGGATTTTGTGCTAAGCCATCTCTGATACAGACACTGTGATAAGCAATGTGTAAGACTGCTAAAGGGGTTTCACTTCTGGAATTGATAAGCCAGAGAGGCCCAGGACACACTGAAAGGTGAAGTTTTCTCTAAGTTGCAGTTTGATCATCTTGATGAATAGGGTAGAAAACTGGTTGAAGCATTGTCATACCACCTGGTCAGTAGAGCTGGGGAAAGAAGGTTTTGGGGGATTTAGCACTTAGGCATTTTAATCACCTTGGTACACACTACAGGCTAGGTGATATGAGCTTGATTATGCTGAAGAACAAAGGTTCTGGCTGGCAGGTCCGAACGGATTTAGCGTTAGGTCAAGTTCTGAGAGATGGCAGAGGCAATGGACTTCCTGACTTCTACATGCTGGTATTACAGACAAAAGGATGTCTGGGCAATTATAAAGATTCCTAAGTTAGGTTATTTTACAACCTTCCTCACATGCCTGAATTGTTCAAGATGTTGAGAGGGATATCTCCCTGCATGTTTTTCCTATATGTTTCTTCCTGAGCTTGCTTGTATAGTTCTATGACAGAATGTAAATTTGGCAGAAGGCAAAAATTTCTTACATAGCTTTCTGACCGAGGGTCTAGCACAGTGCCACTGAGACACGAATGCTAAATACTTCAGAATGAAAGTAAACTTAGTGTTCTCTACAACTTCTAGTTCCCACATTCCAACCATCAAGTTGGCAGAGATTACTGCCCCATAAACTAGGGGTAGGGTACGCACTTTCCCTCAGCCGGTGGCCCCAAAACCCCATGTTTACTCAGTCCCTGGAATGCTTTCCATCACCGAAGGAAGGAAAAGAAAAGGTCATCAAACTTTTAGATAACATAGAACAAGGGCTAAACCATTTTCTGACAGGCGCCCTTAAAATCTTGCTACTCAAAGCGTGGTCTCCGGATGAGGAGAATCATCACCATCTGGAGCTTGTTAGGCAGAATCTCGGGTTTCCATTTCAGATTTACTGGATCAGAATACTCCTTTTAACAAGATACTCAGGTGACTGCTATTAATATTTAGAATTTCAAATCTCAATAGACGTATTTTATTCATTCATTGAGCAAAAACAGCCCTGGAAAACAGATTCAGCCCTTTGTGCCCGCTTCGCACTGGCTCGGCTCGGTAGCAACCGAACCCCCAGGGACATCGGAGCGGGTGCTGCCGAGGGCAATTTGGTGATTGGCTGGTCAGACCACGTGACCGGCGCCGGGCCTCTCTTGTTACCGGATTGGCTCTCGTGGATTCTGACGGACAGGGCTGGGGCGGGTTGGAGCCCGGACGGAGAGGCGCGCGCGGGGGCGCGAAGCCACGAGAGCGCGAGTGCGCGTGCGCGAGCGGCGGGGCTTTCTCCGGAGCCGTCGGAGGGAGCCGGAGCGCTTCTCCTGAGGTAAGCGCCTCTGCGGGGCTGCCCCCTGCCCCTAGCGCGGCTGGTGGCGACTAGCCGGTTGGGCAGGGCTGGGCAGGGTAAAGGGGGAAGTCTGGGGTTCGCCCTGGGAGCTCTGCTTCGGGAAGGATGCAGACTCGCACTCAGTCACCCTGGTTGGTTGCCTCGGTTTCCCTTTTCCTAGCCTCTAAACGCACCTTCCTATCCTCACCACGGTGACGAGTCCGCCCGAAGGGAGTTGCCCATCTGGCAGCCTCGTCTCTGCCTTTGTTTCCCGCCTGGAGGGATGCTGGTATCGGCCCTCCCTCAGGTAAAGGGTAAGCGTGGTGTGGCGGGGACATCAGTGGACTCCGGATCTGGGCTGGGGTCCGGGAGAGGATGGCTTTAATGCAGTGGGACCTGTCACATGTGAGAAGGAAGGGGAAAAAAATGTGTCACTTTAGCCAAGCCGCGGGACTCGAACTAATCCGGCGGCGAGCGATGCCGAATTCCTAGCGCAGCTGTGCGGGCGGGGGAGGGGGGCACAACCGGTGGACCGAGCCCAAGTGTTTGCCCGTAGAAGGCTTCTCCGGACCTGCACGGGAGCTCTCACCCCAGAGTTACATCGATACTGACGGCTTTTAGCCTGCCGAGGGAATCCAGATTTTCGTTAGGAGGTGAAAAAAAATTTTTTTAAGCAGTTGGGCACTGGTCTAAAGGAGCAGATCTAAATGAGAAGCTACAATAAGGAATTACAGTTAACAGCGAAACCGATGACTGGTAAATTGTGAGGAGGGAAATGCCTGCAGTGAGCTGCAGACCAGATCGTCACACAGATTCTCCTTCAAGAAGATAGGGGTTTGGGGGTGTCAGTGGGAGTGGGGTGGCCGTTATATCTGTAAACTGAGGTCTTCTGAGCTGCCGAAGAGAGTAATTATTTTGAGCCTGTTAATGGCCTGTAGGGAGGAGGGAAGGCATGGTGTAAATTAACACCTATTCAGACTCCCTTAATTCTTTGAAAAGTGCTTGTTTAAAGACCATTTGGATGCCAAAAACGGTTTGTGTGTTGGGGATGGACGATGTCTCCTTTAAGTCATAGTATAAAAAGGGAAGTTGTGTACAAGACCTCTGCTTTTCTTCTCCATTTCCCTAGACCTATAATAGCAAGGGCATACTGTATATCTTAAAATGTTAAAAGTCCCTTCAGTTTTCCACTAATTTGTTGGATGTATCTGGTAGTTTACTTGGTAAGAAATGGTTTGTCTGTCATTAGGAAGATTTTACCATATATTGGAGTTTCACTGTAATCTATTTAGAACTTATTCTGGTGTGAGATGGAGAAGAATCTTTCTACCTGATTCCTTTGGAGACCTGATGATATTCTTTCAAAGCCCTTTCATTACTCTTACCTTCCCACATACAAAGTTTCATCTCCTTAGGAAACAATGTGATTTTTCAAACATTCAAGGCACACCTCATGCCTATGAAATGCCTACCCTTGCTAAGAAATCAGTTTACTTGACAAGTTAAAACAAATTGAAGAAGGAACACTTAAATTCGTTAGGGGAATCAGAACATTTATCAGCTGTAGCAAATCAACTTTTTGATGGTTTTCTGATGTGAATGAAAGTAAAGTTGCTGCAAAGCTTTTGGGAATGTAACAAATGACCCTATTAAAGTGAATATAGATTGTTACCCCATAGATTGGAATGTAAAGTAAATTAGTGGGAATAATTCAATTTACCAATGATTGTTTTTTAAGATGGCATGTGATGGAGGGAAGGAGAAGGAATTCTGAAGGTGGGGTAGGTAGTATAGTTTGAAAAGATACGTTTTTATGTTTAGAAAAATGTCATTTTTATATAAATTATGTAAAGGTCATAGTACATTTATGTTTAGCCTTTGGAAGAGAGATAGGTTTTAAATTTATAGGTTTATACAGGGGAAAAGCGAAAGATTGGCTGGCTTAATTCATCTTGAGGGAAGCAGTGTACCTCAGTGACCGACAAGACAAGGTTTTATTTTCTGGTTCAGTGAAAGCCCACTAGTGCTGCTTTCGAAACAACAAGGAAATCATTTCCTTTCTGTCATTTCTGTCCTCTGGGTCAGGAACAGGGAGGATGGAGAGCAAATGAGAGAGATTAGAGTCCGACCTGCATACCTAAGCAATAGTGTCCTTTGAGCGGGATCTGTGTCACACTGTGTAAATATAAGAGCCTTCACATTGAGATGGGTCTGAGCACCTTTCCTAAGATGCATGCTATAAGATAAAGCTGGATAATGCTGCCACAGGTGGGGGCATGGGTGAGATCATCTGATACAGAAGTACTGGGGGAAGAGGAGAGCCAGGAAATGTTTAATTCAGTGAGGTTCTGCTGCTTGCCTTTGGAGACTTAAGGAGGCATTTCCAGGCAGAGCTCATTATTGGCTAGCCTGGTTGGGCTTTGTATGGCTTCCATAGGAGCTGCCCTTCATGTGGAGACTCCTGCGGAGGTTCCGTTTCTCAGGTTGTAAGCATCAGTTATGTTTGTTATATGCTCTAGAAAAGAAAGGCTCACAAAGACACAATCTAGCCTGCCATTCTTCCCGTCTTTGGCTCCTGTCACTCACAGGCTTCCAGAAATAAGAAGTTGTGCCCTCCCTACCAGTAGATGGCACTGCTGTCTCTGAAATTCCTGGAGGAGATGAAACAGAGCTGGCAAAGCAGTGGTGTGTAGCCTCCAGATTTAGAAAGGCTATCAACTCTCCCTCCGCCCCCCCCCCAAAAAAAAAAGGTTCTAAAAGCCAGAACTGTTTATATTAGGTAGAAATAATATGTGTTGGGGGGTTGAGGAATGGGTACAATTACTTTCCTGGTTGTGTATAGGGGGAAAAGGCAGAGGGTAAACTGACAAGCATTATATCATAGGTTTTTAAAAGCTCTTGGGATACATGTTGGTTAATTGAACATGAGGTTGAAATCCTGATTTAATCATAATTCACAACAATTTCATAGTTCTAATTCTTTGCACGTAAAGCTAGTCTACACATGACAGGACTACGGAAATATACATGTGACTTTTAAACCCGAGAAATATCCAGTAATTACATGCTCTGAAGGTAGTGGTGAGAGTCCTAGTAAAAGCAGTGCCTGTTGTTACTGTACTGCAGGGCTGTCCAGATAGGTCCAAGTTATTCTGAATCTGTTTCTTCTAAAACTTGGAAATTACCAAGAAGTATTTTAAGGTTTTCTTAGCTAATGCAGTCCTTTCAAGATTATGGTATTTAAAATCTTGAATTTTGGTTTTATTAAGTTTGCTAGCCAGAGTTTACTTATCTATTACCCTCTTTTGGGATAGCTGTTCTTTCTTTGTTATTGACTGTTTTTTGAGATGGAATTTGTAGCCCCAGTATTTGAAGGTGAGTGCTGTTGCCAGTGAAGTTACAATGTATATGAGAACCTCAGTTTTGACCCTGCCTGAGCTAGAGGATGCTGCCTCTGGGTGTCATTAGCCCAGTCACCTGCTTCCTCGTGCAGTTCACTCTCTATGGCTCAGCTTATTCGAGGTTTATTTCTGTCTCCGAGAGAACTGATGAGCTGGTTTTTTACTACCAATGCCGAATCCTAAAATCCTGCTGGTGCTAGATGGCAGTAGTTACCACAGTCCATTAATATCGCCTCATTATGTGACCTCAAATAAATCTTTGCCTTTCTGAAACTCTGTTTTCTTGCCTCATCACTGGGATTGCTAACGTGATACATGTCTATTAAAATCTCGTTCAAGTCTTATTCTGTGGCAGGGTGACTCTTGTATTTCTGAAGCCTCTGAAAAATTCTCATCTAGAAGGCAATTTCATACTGTGAGCCTAGGGCAAAAAGAAATCTCAATAATTTCTTTCCAGAGAAATGATTATGTATTGTCTTAAAATCCTAATAATTCAGAGTTGGAAGAAACCCTATAGGTGGTTTAACTCAACTTTTTAATTTTATAGGCAGTTTCAACTCAGAACTGACTGATTGACCAAGCTAACAGAAATAGTTAGTAGAGAACTTGTTAGAGAACTAGGACCCAAGCTCCTACTCCTCTCCATCTTTCCTTCTTCAATGCTGCCTTTCTCCACTTGCCATCAGGACTCAGAATATGCTGTGTCTATAGGGCTGGAGCCAAAGAAAATTCTGAGTAATTCCTTAATGTATCATTTTAAAGCCACAGCACGAATAATGTTGAGTTTGGCTAGAGATTCAAGGTCAGGCTTTTCTTCAGCTTGTTCTTCACTGACTGATCCTGCACACAATTTTTTATGTATATCTTAGGGTTTTAAAACTTTTTGGATACTGTTTCCTAGAAGAAAAATAAAACTTTGATTATCCTAGAAGTGTCTCTTACCAATGAGATGTTCTTATATTAGGTTCATGGAACTCTGAGTGCTGCATGGAAAGATGTCTATATAATAGGCTTCTTTTGTAATCCTATAACATTTAACACATTATTCTGAGGAGGAGTTTCTTCGACTTCAACAGACTGCCAAAGCTGGGTGGGGGGTGGTGAGGGAAGTAGAATTCATGGCACAAAAATAGGGTAGAAATTCTAGAGTCTAGAGTAGGTTGTGGAAAATTGCCAGGATGGGAGAGTTTTTGAGGAGCTGAAGACACTATAGTGCATGAGGGTTGGGGGTAGAGTATAGAAGTAAAACTATGAAAGTTCTTAGAACCTTTTACCTTTATTAAAATGTTTAAAATTGCTCACTAAAGGAAGATGCTAATAGTATTTTATTCATTTTAAATTAATAATGGATGTGCAAATATTGATTTCCATTTATCATTGCTTGCCCAGTAAGTACTCCCTCATGATTTCACCAAAAACACTTCCATATTCATGTTCCTTCATTGAAGAGGACATGCATTGTAAGAGCCTCCTTTCTTCACCAATCTGCTTTGATTTCCAGATAGTTAGTGCTTTTCTGACTTGTGATTTGGGGGGTTGACTCCTGTGTTTCACTTCTGAGGTCCTTCATTGCAGTGTTTTTTGCTATAAGCTCCTAGGACTCACCATGATCTGAGATGCAAAAATAGCATACATGTCAGGGATAAAAATCTTGAGGTTCTTTTCTTTGTCCTCAAGATTTATCATAGAAGCTTCTGCTTCTTGGTTAATTATTTTCTTTTTCTTTTTTTAAGATTATTTATTTATTTATTTGATGCAGAGAGAGAGAGATCACAAGTATGCAGAGAGGCAGGCAGAGAGAGAGAAGGGAAACAGGCTCCCCGCCGAGCAGAGAGCCCTATGTGGGGCTTGATCCCAGGACCCTGGGATCATGACCTGAGCTGAAGGCAGAGGCTTTAACCCACTGAGCCACCCAGGCACCCTCTTTTTCTTTTTCTAATTGTCCCCCAAATAGTAGTAACTCAAAGTTTTTATATATTGAAAATATTTTTGGTTTTGCCAGAGCATATACAGAAGTTAATTTATGTTCAAGTCCTGTTTTGGACACGTGAAACACAACTTTGGTGGCAATCACTACATTATGAAGAACATCTGCTTAAAAATCTCCTGATGTCTTTTCTGTGTCACCTTTGGTACCATAGTGACCCAAACTGGTGAATGCTATCTTCTGGTTCCTTTTGGGTATGGGCCAGATTAGTATTTGTTCTTCCTTTAGCAGAAGAAAATTACCCTTTTCAGAAGGCTGTCAATTGAGTTTAACAGAAAAAAAGTCAAAATTTCTGCATTCTATTCCAGTACACTAATTTATTGTGAGATTTTGGGGGCATTATTGGCATCTCTGAGTTTATATCTTTGTCTAGAAAATAAGAGAGAAGAGTGACCAAGACTTAAATTCTTTCCATTTCTAGAAATCTGACTATATGAAATTTTATATGGTACCTAGACTATTTCCTAAAAGTGCTAGCTAGTTGGGAATTATAATCAAATTTGGTGCCAAGATAATTCTTTATATCTGAAAATTACTTTCTGGTTTACAAAAATATTCTCTATTTCCTTTTTAATGTGTGGTCAGAGAACAGTAGTATTGGTATCATCTGGGAGCTTGTGAGAAACGCAGAGTCTCAGGCTTCACTCAGGATCTACTGAATTAGAATGCATTTCATCAAGATTTCCAGGTGCTGTGTGTGCACATTAAAGTCTAGAAGTGCTGCTTAGTCTCATTTGGAGTTTCACATTAACCTTGTGAGGGAAGAGGTATTTTACAGATAAAAAATCAGGGAACAGAGATTTATTAAGTAATTAAGTCAAGGTTATTGTGCTACTGTCTTACCCAGAATGTTTTATCAAATACAATGTTGTCATCTTGGTTGGTCTGGAGCAGCCTTGTATGATAGATAAGACCATGTGCTGCTGGGCAGCTCATAGTTATTAGGTGTGGCTGTGTTACTCATTCTAGCCAATAAAATGTGAGTGGAAGTGGAAGGGTGTTGCAAGCCACTTCCAGAAAAAAAAAAAAAACACACAGGGAATACCCTGTGAGTTTCCATCCTGTTTTCCACTTCTGGCTGGTTGGAATGGAGAAGATTCCTAGGGCAAGTTTAGAAATCAAGTTTTAAGAAAGGTGGCAAAACTTACGTTAGCCTGGGTACCTGGATCACTGTGTCAGTGAGGGCCACTCCACTGACTGACCAACCTGTTTACCTGTTCAGTATGTATATGGGAGCCAGAAGTAAACTTTTGTTGAGCTTGAGCCATTATATGTGTTTGGGTCTATGTGTCAAGCACATAGACCACACAAATTCACTTGAGCAGTGCCTCTGGACTTCAAGTTGTGGGTCTTCATTTATTTATTTATTTATTTTTGGCAGTTGGTGATTGGTCAGTGGTGGTCCAACATGCAGAAGTGAGTGAGTGGTGAAAAGCAGCAGAGCTGATGGGTCATGAGGATGTAAGTGCGTTGGAAGTCTCTCACACCCTTTACTCCAGGGTAAGTCAAAGGCATTCTCTGCCATTGTTTTTCTGGTTTTACTAAGTCCTAGAGGCTCTTGCCTCACTAGCCTGTTAGAGTCAGTGCAATGAAGTTGTCTTTTAAAGTTTCTCAAAGCCTTTATTGATTCAACTTAGAGACACCATACTAATTAACAATTTTGAAGAGAGAATTCATCAAAGTGATGGGACGGAAACTCTGCATGGAAATCTCAACAGAGGACTTTTCAGTGAATTTGAATGGGTTTGATTTACACAGAGGAGCTGGTTGACTTTTCTGACATTATGAGTAGAGAAGGGAATAAGGCCTAACTGCATTTTTCCTGTAGCCATATCTTACTGTTAACTCTGTTGGCATATATTCCCCTCTCCCAGCATCTTCTTATTCCATGGCTTACTTTGCCTAACTTTTCCTTCATTAATCATTTAGATATTTTTCTAGGGAGGAAACAGCTTACTAGAGAGTTGATTCCCATTTTGGTGGATAATAATAGTAGCAAACATGATTCTGCCTGTTCCATTTTATTTTATCTAGTGTCACTGGAAGCTACATGTCTGTTCACTCCTGTCTATTTGGTATAATGAATGTGGGCACTGGGAGCATTATAATCAAAGCTGGCTTTGGATTTTCAGTGCTGAAGATTTTTGAGACCAGAGGGAGAAATTTACTATTTGGAATGCACTTGTCAGAATGCAAGTAGAGGTCCAGGAAGGATGGGTTGAAAGGACATCATAACCTTTCTGAGCTTCCTGGCTTTAAGAGCTTAAACTGAAATCAGACTCCTTGAAGAGAAAATTACATCTAATATGGATCTAAATAGAGCTAAGGATGGTTAGGAAAGAGAGATAGAGGTTAAAAAAAATGGTACTCAGCTGAAAAGCTGGATGGAGGGTTTTAAGCATCTCAGTTCAGTATTGTGGAGCCCTTGGCAGACAATGTCGCATTACCCAGGCTCATACAGAAGGCACCCAGAAAGGCTGATGTCCTTCAGTGCCTCACATGGCTCAGTAATGAGTACAATTTACTGAACGAAATAGACAATTAGGGACTGTAGATCTCTGGAGATTCCCATAAGCATACATCATTACTGCTCTGGAGTGATGCACATGCTTAGAGACAAGCAAAGCAGAAAAGGCAGCTGCAAAGCTCACGAACAACTGAAGAGTCCGGGTAAGCAGCCAGATACAGATCATAGCTCAGGGCCTGGAGGTTGCTAGTGCAGGGACCTCGTATTTGCTAGGTTTTCTCTTTAAAGGAAAGAAGGCAGCCTTTGCTAGCTGTCCTCATTTTCCTCTATGACTCCCATATATTTTGTATGTTTAAAGTAACTAAAAAGTATAGAATGCCAGAAATAGCACTTGATTGCCATGTTTCTGTGTAAATACTATACAAGGATCAAACTGTAGAGGGAGCCATTCTTTATTGATTAGGGGGCGAAAGAAAGTCATGCTAGATTTCCCAGAGGAGCAGGGGTTCTCATTCTTGGCACTGTTGGCATTCTGAGCCAGGCAGTTCTGTGGGGGCGGGGGGGGGGGGCTGTCCTCTGCACTGTCCCCTGTTTGGCAGGGTCCTTGGCTTCTACCCTTTAGATTCCAGTAGTATTCCCCACAGTTAAAAATGTCTCTGGGGGCAGAGACAAACCACCGATTGTCCCCTGGGGGCAGGAAATTGCCTGATTGAGAACCACTGCTAAAGTAATACACTGAAGGGATTAAATTTTTTTTTTT